ATTGTAAATGCTACAGAAAAGAGCTCTGGGAATGCTCCATAAACATTTAGAAAAGTATGCCACCATTCAAAATCTAAACTGATTACAAAATTTTAGCTAACTAAATGTGCCTTTTTTCTATGAATGAAAAATCTTCACTCTTGAGGTTACATTTTCATACAAGAAAATGCTCCTGTTTTACCTGTCTTTTCATGAATGCTCATACCCTCAATGAACAGGTATCTCACTGTTCAAAATATTCCCTTTTTTCTTGTCCAGTGAGACCCCAAAATCCATATCCCAAGCAAGTGTCCTTTCCCCCCCTTAATCTAGATTTGATTAGTCTCTTTTTGAATTTCATGTAGATTGACTCGTCCAGGAATATATTATTTTGAGTCTAGCTTCCTTCCCACAGCTTACTGTGTTTGAGAACCATGTGTAGCAATAGTTATTGCTAAGTACTATGGCACCATATGGATATACTCCAATGTGTTTATCCATTCATTTTTGAGGGGCATTTGGGTTGGGGCCAACTTTAGACTAAAACGAATAAAGCTTGTAACAAGATTTGCATACAAATCATTGCATGGAAGGTTGCATTTCTATCTCTTGGATAAATAACTCGAAGGGGAGTTTCAGGATTATATGATAAATATATGCTGAACTATGAAGAATTTACCCAACGAAATTCAAAGTTCCGATGGCAGCACCTCCTCTATAACTACTTGTCCCTCTTCTCCTGTTATCTATTGTTCTAGTGACTGTGCCTCTTGACTTCAAAGGCGGTAATGCTACAGCATAAATATCTATCGTATGAATATACTCATTATGGCAGTATTATCTTACGTTGTTGGTTACAATTCATAGAGTTGAGATCAGCATTAAAAAAATAAAGTGTAAATTTAAAATCTGTGTTCACATACTCATAAGGCATGCATGTATAATAGCATAAAAAGTGGATATTTGGGGTGAAAATCCTAAATAATACAACTGTTCTCAACTATATAAAGCTTAACCTTACTCTAAAAGTCTCAGTGATTATCGCTTAATTTTTCTCAGTTTTTAGAGTATGGCACATTAACATCATTCATCATTACTAGATTCCTAGGAAATATAAAAATTATATATAAGAACAGGTTATAATTTTATGATAAAAAAGAAAAACAAATCAAAATATACATAAGGAATAAATGCCTATGACTGGAGCATCTTCTCTTACTGTACTGCTCCATCTCCAGAAATGCAGCAGCAGGAGGTACCTGAGTGAACCTACTCACTGCCATTGGCTGCCTGGTGGATGCTGCTGTCAGTGGTCCTCTGTGCTTTGAATGTGGCTTGAGTTTAGAGAATTAAATAGAAATTCTATATGTTATCATTTAGTTTCCAAACACCTTCAATTATTTCAATATTGAAAGACAAGGTTGCCTAAATGAATATAGTAGCTATCGAAAATTAAAAGGTGTTTTCCCAGACTGAGCAAATGTTTCAAGTTAAGTTTTCTAGAGATATGGCAAAGAAAATATTTTGTTGTTTTACTTTTGATGGAAGAATAATAGGTTTAAATAAGATTTTATTATAATTGTGGCAAGATCATATATTTATATCAGTTGCCACTTTACAAATGGAAGTTTACCTGCTACCATTTACAAAAATAAATATATTTACATTAAAGATTACTCAAAAATTCAGTTACTATGTTAATAATAGTTTTCTCACATCTAAATTTAACTTTAAACTTAATACCTTTAGTCATTTTTAACTATGTATTGAAAAAAAAAACACTAAAAAGGATTCAAAGCATAATAAAAGTCGGATACCTTTAGTGTGTTAGTAGTTGTATATTATGGAGAATATAAGGCTACTTGATTTACTTCCATAAGTCAGTTTCACAAGCAACACTGACAAACCCCTATAAAACCATGCAAGGAAGAAGTAAATCCAGCAATTGTTATGGATATTTGGGGAAGCAAAGGTGGTTTGGTATTTGGGCCAGACACATGGAGGAGAAAGACCTTTACTTGAACTCTTGAGAAATGGAGAGGGCTTCTGAAGGGCAGACAGAAAGGGAACTTATTTTAAGCCAGGTCAGAATAGAAACAAGATACAAAGCCAGAAATGAGCTTGGTGTTTAGGGAATCAGACTTTGTGAAACACAGACATGGTGAATGTTGGGAGACAGGATGAGAAAGTAGGGCTGTCTGCCAGAATCAGGGGCATGTGAAATTTGTGCTCAAAGCTTTGAGCAGCTGAAAGGACAGAGAGCTTCTGATCAGATGAATGAAATAGTGACTTTTTAAAAGTTTACTTGTGACAACGTACAGGAGGGAGAGAGACTAGAGACTACAGAACTAGTATTGACATCACTACATTAAACCAGACCTGCATATAGAATGAAGAGAACACAGCAGATGGCAGCAATGAAGCATAGTTTGGCCTGTTTATTCCCCATTGTATCCACCCCAAAACACAATAGGGGGTATAAATTACCAATAGTGCTTTGTTGGAATACAATGAGGAGTAGCTAATGACAATATGTGATTTGAAGACCTCTAAGATATAAGGGAATCTTTCCATGAATTGCATACAGATAAAAGGATTCAGAATTCTTTGTTTTTATACCTTTTATGTCTATTAAAATGATCAAATCATAAGTTAGCTTAATATAAGATTTTACAAGTCAAGAATTTGGTCTGGTCTTAAAAGTTGGCATTAGGAATGGAAGGTACTATAAGGAATCAGCTGCCTGAAGATAATTGGTGAAAAACTCTTAGAAAGGTTGATTGCCAAAGGAGGCAGTGGTGACAGATAAGAGATCTCACAGATTTTGTGAGTAAAATCACACACACAGCAAGTAGCTTGCTTAGTTTGGGACCGTATACGTCTCTGCTCTTATTGGAATGAATTCATATACAGATATGTGTAGGTTCTTTTTTTCTTTTTCACTCAAAGTAGGCTATTTCCAAGTTTCCCTGATGTATCTCTGGGTGTACAGGGTCTCTTCCAATTTGCCACAGTAAAGTCTTCCTTAAACTTTTTGTAAGTGGTATATTTGATGCATTCATTTACTTTTGCATGTACTACAAATGATAGATTTTAAAAATTTTACTCATATACACACAGAATATACTCACTACACTAAAGAACAGAGTTGCATCCTAATTTGGGGGCAGAAAGCATGAATCCCTTAGAGCTCAGATGACAATGAATAACACATTATACATTATTCAGGGTCAGGAGGTACCACACTATCCACTCCTTCAACGCGACCAGGAAGATGCTGCCACTTTGAAACTTACGAAAAGGATGGGAAGGATAATTGAATAATCTTATTCTGAATGCTATAATGAAATACTATTTTTTAAAAAGTTTCTCAAGGGATTAGTCACTATTTGAATATACAACTCTTGTTGAAATCAGAAATAATTATATATGTATACATACATACAAATGTGATTGAGATTGAAGAAAAACAAAATGAACCCTGGGAAATGTAATTCAATTTGTTTTCATTGGCTTTGGATTTTGGACTAAATTTTTGTCAGGGTTTAATTTTTTTGTCATTAGTTTTAGTAGATTTATTAGTTATCATACTTTATTTTATGAGTTATTATACCAAATGGGCAACATTATTGATAGTATGAACACTGATAGGATGTCATTCCATAGAAATAATTGCTTATGATTGTGAACAACTTTGCCTATGAAATGTAATTCCTATGGACATTGGACCTCTACTCAAGTACTCCCTCAATGCAAGAACATTTTGTTCTATTAAACTGGCATTCCATGATGCTCACCTTGCCGCCATGATCACTGAAGACAAAGCGGGTGCATCAGCAAATGTGGTGAAGAAAGCTGATGGTGCCCGGCTATCAAAAGATATAGCATCTCAAGTCTTAAAGGCTTGAAGATAAACAAACAGCCATCTAGCTCAAAAACAACAAAACCCACATGGAAGAAGCACACCAGCCTGTGTGATCACGAGGTATCGATAGGATCAGGTAACAGGCATCATCAGAACAAAAAATCATAGGGAGTGTGGAGGGGGGACCCAAAGCCCATCTGTAAGTAACTGGATATCTCCTTACAGAAGGGTCACAGGGAGGAGACAGCCATTCAGGGTGCAGTGTAAGAACAATGAAACATACAACTTTCCTCTAGTTCTCCAATGCTTCCTCCCCAGCACTATCATGATCCCAATTCTACCTTACAAATCTGACTAGACCAGAGGTTGTCCACTGGTACACATAAGAGCTGGAAACACAGGGAATCCAGGACAGACAATCCCTTCAGGACCAGTGGTGAGAGTGGCAATACCGGGAGGGTGGATGGAAGGTTGGGTAGAAAGGGGGAACCAATCACAATGATCTACATATAATCCCCTCCCAGGGGGATAGACCACAGAAAAGTGGGTGAAGGGAGACATTGATCAGTGTAAGACATGAAAAAATAATAATACTTTATAAATTATCAAGGGTTCTTGAGGGAGGGAGGGGGAAAATGAGGAGGTGATACCAAGGGCTCAAACAGAAAGCAAATGTTTTGAGAATGATGATGGCAACAAATGTACAAATGTGCTTGACACCATGGATGGATGTATGGATTGTGATAAGAGTTGTATGAGCCCCAATAAAATGTATTTTTTTAAAAGTAATTCCTTGCTTCAGTTGAATTTTTTTTTCATGGTACATTATGTTATTTTGACCTCATTACATCTAACACACTGGGAAATATTTTTATGGGAAATTTCACATAAGCATGTGTCTGTTGGGAAATTATTGATGTGCGTATCAAACCCAAACCGTCGCTGTCATGTTGTTTCCAGCATCCGTGCATGGCAGAGCAGCGCAGTCCTGGCATGGTCCAAGGGTGGGAATCTTTATGGACCAGACTGTCACGCCATCTTTTCAGAGCAGCCGGCAGGTTCAAACCTCCAACCTTTAGGATTAGAAGCAAAGTGCCACAAGGGCTCTCTGTAGTAGTATAAATTGTAGAAAAAAATAGATTTAATTCATACTCACTGTGCAAGTGTTGCTGGCAGAGAACGTCTAATAATTGAATGAACTTGTCTGTAAACATCCAGTTTAGACATGCACCGGCAGGAAGTGTGATTGGCAAAACTGATTGTTACTGGTTTGGGGCCTTGTGAGAGAGGCACTGTAATTTCAAATAACTACAAAGAAGAGACAAAAAAGAAGAAAATTATATAGGTCCTGTATAGCAACTTTATGTTAAATGTTGGAGTAAAAATAAAAGGAGATCGATTATAGGTGATTAGGTAGTGCTGTGTAAAATATACGGAGACTACTGTATTTATAACTACACTTTTTAAGTTATTTTGTTTTTAATCAGAATTGTTATCAGAATAATAAATACTGCATATGCTTATGCTTATGGTTATAACCTGCATTTGAATTATGATAACCACCTAACAAAGCAGAGATGTGACAGATTTTTGTATCGAAGAAAAAAAAAGACTGTAGTTATGTGATAAAAATAGTTAATATTTAAGATTCTTCGAACTACAATTAGCTAACATGCCAACACTTAACACAGTGGCACATATAGAAACATCTTTGTTACTTAAGTGCAAAGTTATCTGACAACCCAACAATATTTGGGTAAGTCCTGTTTTATATAAAATGAACACATAGACAGTGTCCAAATTCAGTTTCACCCCCAAATTTGAATTGATAGCACCCAAATTTATTAAGGTAAAGAGAAAAATAAGCACAACTGTTATTTTAAATAGTTTGTCTCTGCTATATTAACAAAGGCATTATGAAAATAATGAACTTAAAATATGTTAGGCCATTTTACATGACTCTGGATATAGTTTTAAAATTTAGTATAAGAAAAGTCTCATTTTGGATGCTTTCTTTACGGAGTACTCTATATCTTCTTTTTCCAACAGCAGTGTTTTAAATTGAATATACAAATAAGTGAGGGTTTGTGCAAAATTAAGTGAATTTAAATTCCTGAAGTTATTAAAATCTAACTTACCACTAGTGAAGATGGAATCATGGCCCTCAACTGCCTTATAAGATTATATTTTTGTAGTTTCACTCTGGTTTACATCTGGTACCCAGAATTTGGTATTTGGTACCATTATGGAATCTGGGCAGTGCTATAAAAATACTGCGTCCTCCAGAACCTTGTGACCCAGGATCTCCTAGGCTTTCAAGCCAACAACTCAAGATCATTGTAAATATGTAGGGAATAAGATTAGTTTGCCAATTGTGTGCACACCCACAGAGCAATTCAAAGACAGAAACTTTTACTTAAAATAAGTGGAGGTTTACATTTTAGATAATTGATTTTGTATTCAACAACTCAAACTATCAAACATCCCAATAGCTTTTCCTGTGCACAGGGCAACTTTAAAATTTGATTTTGAATAATTAAATACAGACATATCTACATTTTGAAAGGTGCACATTTTATTAGTATGAAACACATACTTATTTTAAATTTAGCTACTCTCTTGGCATAAAAATAACCTGATTAGAAGATTTGATTACAAGATTACACTCAGCCAGGGTACTTTTCTTAGTTTCTTTATAATTGTATGACTTTGAAAGCAACTTTTAACTTCTCCAAGCTGTGTTTTTTTGTCAACGTTCAGTTACTCTGGATAATATTTGACAGTTACTTCACTGGGTTGTTGAAAAGCTTATAAAATCTAATGCATATAAATATGATATTAAAATTGCATGCTATATAGCTGTATTACTAATATTATCTCTATATAAATTCTCAAAATAATGTCTTCTCCAGGCTAAAACATTTTTACATAAATAAGTTCACATATCAATATATGCCAGTGTTATGATATTTTATCAGAGACTACTCTACAAAGATATTTACTTGGTGTGACCTTTTAGTACAAGAAATGACACAATGGGAAGAAATTATTTGGGCTTTGAACATCTATTTTAAAAGATATGATTCTACAGGGTCTACACATATTAAAATTTCTCCATTTCCTTTTGCTTATATGGGTAATACATTAGTTTGGGGCCCTACAAGTGTTACAGAAGAATTAAAAGTAATTTTCAATGAAAGTGACTGACAAATTGCTTAAATTCTGTAATACTGTAATGTAGTACAGGCCAGTTCACAAAAGCCCAGAAATTCCCACTTAACTGGTAATTGGTAGTTAGATATGTGTATTTAGATTATAGAAGAGACACTTAAAAGTCATCCACACTTAATTGGAGTCCTCGACACTGATAGCTCAGTGAAAGCAGGCTGCAGGAAGAGAGAAAATAACTAACAATAGAAACTTAAAGCACAGGGACATTTCAGAGGATAAGAAGTGGCAAATCAACGAGTTCATATGTATGAGAAGACATCTGAGCTGACTGTGGAAAACCCACAGGGAGTACTGTATAGCAAGGGATGCCAAAGAGAGAGAGGAGGCTGTGTGTGGTTGTAGGTTCAAATGTCTCAAGGAAATCAGATACAATAAGGGTTGAAAGAAGACTGGTACCAGACTTGACTAAGTCCTGGGGTAAGAAAGGGGCTCTACAAAAGGAGCAGAAGTGGGAATGGAGGGACATGACACTGGAAGGAAAGAGCGATGGTGGCTCAGGCCACGGGGATCATTTGTGCTTGTGCTTCCGGAGTGGTTGTCATCAGTGAAGGAACTGGCATGTCTCAAGTGACCAAGGGAGCACAAAGCCTGAGAGTGAAGGATCAGGCACTCCTGAAGATAAGTCTATTGTAGAGAGTGAATGATTTTTCCTTCCTTTAATTATTGGTGGCATCATTGCTACCCTCAATAATTCCTGACACTTCAAACTCAATTCTGGCCTGTTTTCTGAAGGGGAAAATGATTATATTAAGCACAATCATCAATCAGCAGAACAGACATCTGACATTCCTTGGCTATGTCCCTAATCTGCATCTGCTCTTAAGCGTGTTCAGAAACTGGGACTTGGAAGAATGTTCTAGTGAAATGGCAAACAGTTAAAAGCACATTAAGACAGCACCTTCTGTGTTCTTTACTTTCAGCGTGGAAAAAAGAGAAGAGCCTTCATTGTGTGACAAAAGCTAACAGGCTCCACTATGACATTAAAAACATTAAAGTTACAGTAGAGATTGAGGATATATTACTGAGGTTTTTCAAATTAAATAAAGACAAATTCTTAATTACATAATGTTTCACTTCTCTCGTTTGTGTCTAAGAAGGCAATTATCAAGCTGAATTCAGGTAAGTTCTATTGAAACACATCTCCACCAATATATTTATGTTCAGAAAAATTAGGGATTATCTACAGAGATTGTGTCATATACATTGTCATAGTGGAGCCTGTTAGCTTTTGTCACACAATGAAGGCTCTTCTCTTTTTTCCAATGTTTCTGCACCAATTTTATTAACTGACTTTTCCACTGAACGTGGTTAACTATTACACTTTATTTTTCCACGCAGAGAATTCTGGTTTCTTAGTTATAGAACAATTTGTGACTTTTTTTCAGTTACAGTTTTTTGGTAGTTATATTTATTCTTAATGTTATGGCTTTTTGTGTGTGACTTTTTTTTAAATGTGTGGCTTTTTTATAGTTACATCTATTCTTAATGTTATGAAACATGTGCATGACTTTTTTTCCCTTGGTCAGATAGAACACGTTTAGAAAATGTGAATTTTTTGGAACTAAAATATTTTAAAAACCATTAGATACTCACTTTCCCCCCTACATCTCCAGGCAACATAGAGATAACGAGAACCAACCGTCCTGGTGACTCTGTGTGTCTGTGTGTGTGTGCGTGTGTGTGTGTGTGTGTGTGTGCGCGCCTCCAAAGGCTACTCAATGGCTCCTTTTGGGAAGCCCAGTGCCAGGCCTTACTGCTGAGGAGCCAAGTGCTGAACTCTAACTACTGTCTTGCTGGGCAGCAAGCATGTGAATTACTTGAACTACCCCTGGACTGACAAATACATACGCAGAGCAAATAACTGGCGACTTTCCTTCTGTAGTAGAAATGAGAATGGTCAAGAATTTAGTCTTAAGACAGTCATGAATGGATGCCCAAGAATGCATGCCTGTAATCATTCAATTTACAATTTCTGTCATGTGGCAAAAAAGTATTTAACAACTTTCAACTTCGGTTCATTATCTATAAAATAGAGTCAATAATGATAATGATTTCATGGCATTATTTAATTCCATGAGCCACAGGAAATTCTCAAAACTGCGTTATAATAATAAACAGAAAATCATTATTATCTTTATCTTCTCCTCCTTTGTTATAATCATCTTAACATCAGTTCAGATTGAGATGAACCTTTGTTAAGGGCATTCCAACATTTCAAAATCTTAGTTCAAAAGATCTCTTAATTTTACTCTGTTAGAATTTCAGGTTAATAATCATAACTAATGGCTCTTGCCCCAACGTAACACATAATTAACAAAACTAACAATAAGAGTGATGAGAAGAATATGGTTCATATTCTATCGAAATTTTAAAAAAGAAATAATTTACTATAACCTGTATTCATCTGCAAAATCTTTCAGTTAAGCTTGCTAGAAATCTGTTTGGCATTTTATAATAATGTGAACCATCACCATATCTATAATTTTCTCTCAAAAGAGTTAAAGTTTATCCAGATATATCAGTGTTTGAAGCATTAATTATATCCATTTATACTTTAGTATTATATTAATCTTAGTGCTAATGAACGAATAATGCTGGACAATTTTGTGCTGCATAGTACTTTCTTGTTTAGATCAGAATTCCTAGAATGCACACATTATCTATTATGTCCAGCACTGACTAATAATGCTACATATGTTTACTTAAGTGACTATGCAGGGTTTTCAAGGCTTTTAAATATTTTTGAGAACAGACAGACTCATCTTTCCTATACGGAGAAATTTCTGGATTTGAACTATAAACCTTGGGCTAGCAGTCCAACACTTACCTGACAGCATTAAGAGCCCCCCTTAATTGTTTAATCAGTAAATACCCATTGCATTTCAATTATGATTTATAATATAATTGAAATTGATATATAAATTATAATTTGATATCTTAAAACATGCTGTTCTTCCTAAAATACTTATTTCATAAAGTGAACTGTTCTTGAACAGTAGTAGATGATATGAATTTTTATCTAAGTTAAAACCAAAAAACCCAACTCATTGTCACTGAGTAGATTCTGGTTCATAGTA